AGCAATCCAACATCCTTCTTACAAGTTTCAAGTTTCCAACCCTAATTAATCCCCCTTCCAACCCTAATTTCATAACTTTATTCATTTCCCCTCTTCTCCTCACTCACGCACGCAGGACACAACCACAACCCCTCACTCACTCTTGGTTTCAGCCACAACACCTTCTTGCTGCTCAACTGCTACAGATCTACGTCTGCTGTTGGAGCTGCTTGCTGCCTCTGCCTCCTGTGCCGAACCCTTTGCTTGCTGCCTTTGGTGCCGGACCCTCTGCTTGCTGCCTCCTGTGTCGGACCCTTTGCTTGCTGCCTTCTGTGCCGGACCCTCTGATTGCTGCCTCTTGTGCCGGACCCTCTGCTTGCTGCCTCTTGTGCCGGACCCTCTGCTTGTTGCCTGTGCTGGACCCTTTACTTGCTGCACCGTGCCGGACCCTCTGCTTGCTGCCTGTGCCGGATCCTCTGCTTGCTGCATTGTGTCGGATCCTCTACTTGCTGCGCTGTGCCGGACCCCTTCTGCTTGTTGCCTGTGCCGAACCCCCTCTGCTTGCTGCCTGTGCCGAACCCCCTCTGCTTGTTGCTTGTGCCGGACCCTTTGCTTGTTGCACTATGCCGGATCCTCTGCTTGCAGCACTGTGCCGAACCCCCTCTGCTTGCTGCCTGTGCTGGACCCTCTGCTTGCTACTTGTGCCAAACTCCCTCTCGGCATCCAATGGTAAGAAGTTTAATAATTTGATTATGGTTAAATTAACATAGAGAAAGTTTGGATTTTTTAGAATTTACTAGATTTAAAAGTGAATCTAACCATCTTTAGACAATCCTTTACAATAATTTTCTCCAGCATTGAATCTTAATTCTTTCATTATGTGAAACCAAACATTAAAACCACACACAAAACACACACAGCTACAACTGAGATGTTCATCCTTTTTCCTCCTAATTTTACCAACACCCACAAGGACAGTACAGCTCATTGATTCTTACACGTTACAACAAATGAAATAATAAAATTACGTATACTTAGCAAAGATGCATGTGGCAATAACCACTTGCCATCAGCTTTGATAGAGCTTTTGTCGAAGCATATAAGGACAAGGGTTCACCACTTGCCATCTACTTAGTTAATTTTTTTACATAATCATATACTGATATACATATAATATAGAAAAGTTTAAAGTTTATTTTATAATGACTTATTTGGTATGAAAATTTATTTTAGATTTCAATGAAAAGGCATAATTGTTTTTTTAAAATTTATTTTTAGGTGATAAATGTCTAACACACAAGAGCAAAGTATTGAGGGATCATTTCAAGCTTCACCACCAATTCAAATTCCTAATGAATCAAGTGGTAATTTTATGGCAAGCCCAGGTCCTCTGACAACACCAACACCAACTTCATCTTGTGCTATGCCTCCTATTGTAATAGAAGAAGAAGAAGGTGTTAATGAAAATGAGAAGGTTGGCCATAAACGAGCATTGACTTCGAAGGCATGGGAGTCTTTTAAGAGACAAAAAGTTAATGGCACATGGAAAGTAATATGCATCTATTGTAGCAAAATGCTTGGTGGTGAAACTAAGAATGGAACAAAACATTTGCACGATCACTTAAAGGCTTGCCCATTGAAATGTACTGCTGATATAAGGCAAACTTTTTTGAAGGCTTCAAGGAATAGTGAAGGGAAATCAGAACTTACTACTACTGTTTTTAGTAATGAGAATGCAAGAAAGGAACTTGCTTGCATGATTGCTTTACATGAGTATCCTTTATCAATTTTGGAGCATATTGGATTTAGAAGATTCGTTGCTACCCTTCAACCAAGATTCAAGATGATTTCAAGAAATACAATCAAGAAGTATATTATCAACATATATCAACAAGAAAAATCCAGAAAAATGAAGCTGTTGGAGGAAAATCAAAGTAGAATTGCCATC